ACAAGGTCGTCGTGGTGAGTGTGCCTTCCTGCTGGCGTGCGTGCGACGGGTTTCGAGTGGTTTCTAATGGACTGTGGACGCTTTCCAGCCGACGGACGCGGTGTCCGAATGACACCGATCAGCGGCGGTCGTGCTAACGCATTCTCTGGAGTCGGTCGGGCCCTGTACTTTATGTTTTTGCATGTGCGATGATGGAACACGTACGGATTGTGCATTTCGTGGCTGAACAGCCACTCCGGTTCCTCAAGATCCGCGCTTGACTCCCAGCCTCGAGTCGACTGTGCCCAAAATTTGCTCCAGCCTTTGTTGTTCTCTTCAGACAGAACAGCGCCGGGACCACATGGACTCGCGGAATCGTCCCGGGCGCGGAGAGAGTGGGAGCAGAGATTTAGGGGATTGGCCGGGAGACGCCGCCCAAATTGGGGAAATTAAGGCGACCGCCACGACCGGCGCTGCGTTCTCCGGGCAGCGAAGATGGCGAGGGAGAAGGTTGGACCCCATTACTCCCGGCCCTGTGCGCAGAGCCTAGAGACGGGCAAAAGCGCGCGTGCGCATTGCAGCGTCCGAGGCCTGCCTCACCCGCTTCGCTCTCAGCTCCAGCATCGTTGAGCAGGAATGCGACGTGGGGAGGAAGATGAGCGGGCGCTCGGAGATGGGATGTGCCGCGGCAGTGGAAGGCGTCGTGGGCGGGACAGCCGCCGTGGCTCATGCGTGGTCGCGCCTCGGTTGTCCGCCCTCCGCGCGTCTCGGCGTCCGCGCGACCGCGAGTGCGACAGGCCAGAGGCTCCCCCGCCACAAGACCCGCGTCCGCCCTGCGTCCGCCCTCCGCTCTCTTTTATCTCTTTCTCCTCCTCCCCCGACGGCCGACGCTCGTTTCCTCCCTCCCCGCCTCCCCTCCACTCTCCCCTTGCTCGAGGCCCGGCGCGGCCTGTCCTTGACGGATCAGCCGACTCTCCCTCCCCGCGCTCGCCCCACCCGCCCGCCGCTCGCTCGCGCCCAAGATGTCGGCCGCCTCCTTCTCGCTGGACAAGACTTTCGGCGCCGCCTTCGTTGGCTTCGCCGTCTCCAGTCTGTGAGTCCCCCGCCTCCCGACGTCATCCGCGCCGTAGCCGCCGTCGATCGCGTCGCGTAGTATGCGCTGTCTACATGCGCGCTTGTTGACATGTCCCCGAGCAGCTGTCTGGGCGTTCTCTCGATGCAGACCTACAACTACTTCCGGACATTTCCCCTCGACAAAACCTACTACAAAGTCATGGTGCGTTTCCTCACCTCTCGGGCGGTTGCATGCGCGTTCCTGACGAGCCGTCCGCTCCAGGTCTCGGCGGTGTGGTGCGTCCTCACGATCCGAGCGCACTGTGCTCGCGAAATTGAAACGCGGTGTCGCGCAGGGCACTCGAGTTCGCGGATCAAGCGTTGATTGCACACGCCGTGTACACATATGTCGTCACGAATTGGGGCGACAAGCTGATCCTGATCAAGCCCCCCGTATGGTCACTTGTCGTACGTCCCTCCGTAACGACGTAGATATCCGCCTTCTCAGCCGTCCTGCAGATTCAAATCACCCTTGGGGTATGTGCAACACTGGTCTCGTTATGCTACGCGCTCTAACCTAGAGACACTCTAGGTCGTAACAGGGACTGTTGTCAAACTGTGAGTTCATATCCGATTTCCAGTCACTTCGCCAGCGCTAATTTGGTGCAATAGCAACTATGCTATGCGCGTATGGCGTTGTGAGTGCACTATTTTGTCCGCATCCTTCGCCTGTACTCAAATAAATGCGCAACCCCAGTCAGCAAAATGAATATTCCAGTGACCGGCTTGATCGTGAGTGTCGGATTAATTTCAGCGTCTAAACCGTCTCTAAAATTGTAACTAGGTTCTGCTCACGGTCGGCGAGCTCGGCGTTGCGTGTGGTGAGATACCGAGGCAACCCTCACCAACCAGAGCCACGCTAACCTACATTTAACCTTATGCGTGCAGTCTATACCTACCAGGGGTACGTCACAAGCCTCTCATTCACTGCAGCTGGAGCTGACCGCATCCCATTCCAGGCTAATCCTGGACAGCCTGCTGGACATCGGCAAGATGAAAATGATTGGCACATTGTCCCTCGGGTTGGGTGTAGGCACCGACGTCGCCATCGCCGCATCTCTCTGCTGGTTCCTTGGAGGATTGCGCACGGGTCACAGGCAGTGAGTCGTTGTCGGTGCCAGAGATTGGTGTCTTCCGCCCTGACTGATCATTCTCAGAGATGACTCCATGGTCAACAACCTCATTCTTGGTTCGCTCAGCACAGGATTACTCACTAGGTACATTTCCGTGTACTCTTACGGCGACGGTGGGCCGAAAACTTACATGCACCTTCTTTCTCAGCCTCATCAGTCTCGTGACACTCATTCTGGTATGTACGCCGCTGTGCTGGTAATCGGTCCATCGTCTGACACAACGCTCATAGTACAACTTCATGCCCGACAACTTCATCTTCATGGGCATGTACTTCGTGCTGAGTAAGGTGTATGCTAACTCCTTCCTGGCCGCGTAAGCACATTGGTATTCTCCCGCTTCTCACTGTTCTCATAGCGGTCGTCCTTTGTAGATTGAACACAAGACGAGTTAGCCGTGGCCGTGGCACTGACAATGACCGCACAACTGTGCCCACATTCCTCATGGTCGGCAAGACCACCCAGCGGAGCATCCATATTGACCCGGAACAAGCTGTAGGTTTTACCGACTTCCTTCCCTGGGACTTTTATTGATTGGCGATCGCAGACCCACTCACCGATCTCGCCAGCCGATGTGAAGGGAGTCTTAAGTCCTGTACGGATGTTATGCCTCACGCTTTTCACGTTCGCCCACTTATGCCCGTCTGCAGTCACACAACTACGCTCAGCGGTGGTGAACGCCATCAAAACTTTGGTGTGAATGCTTTCCAAAACCAGGTTGTACATTAGATTGTAAGCAGACCCCCTCGTTACGCATGGCGCTACCGTTGCTGACAAGCCTTCTCGCTCACAGGACTCCTCCCTTTGCTTTTGCGCATGCACCTATGCGCCTTGCTTCCATTTGGGGTACGACCCCTCTCGTTGTGTATCCTTATCGTACTGCGTCTTCGTCCACTTGCCTTCTCGCGCTCCCCACCCCCATCCACCATTCGCTTACGACGACATGCGGCGCATGACTCCGACGTCCCCCCCTTTCATGGCTGTGCCCATATGGTTCTCTGTAGTATAATACCCCCCTCTCTCGTCTACCGTCGCGCTGTCGCCGTAGCTCCTCCGTCCTTCCCTTGCTTTCCGTCTTTTTCGGTGGCTGGTGCCCTACCGGTCCGCTCTCCTGTTGTTTCGCCGGTTATAGACTTTGGCGTCCCGGACACTCGGCTCGCGTGTCTCCCGTATCTACTAGTCCATTAGGCTCGCTCCGGAAGGCAGGGTGTACTTGCCCGTAATTACAATTACATCTGCGTTGTGTCATCGACGGCAGAGCGACTACCTGACCTGACAAACCACTGCGTTATGAGTCACTCGGACTCGAGAGCCCGTTCCCAGTACTTTGCCACCCAGCGCGCCCGAAACGTCAGCTAACAGGTCAGCGACGAACTCGTATGAATGCTTCACATGCGCTGACGCCTCAATTATATTCTCACCAGGGATTTTGCGTTCTGTGTCGTCTTCCAGCGCTGACACGTCTGAACAATATGGAATTGGCCATGTCTACCACATGCCCTGGTCGACTCGCACGCTGTAAGATTTCTGTCAGCACTCTCAATGTGGCTCCGACCCCGGAACGCTCTTCACCCATAGCGTGGTCAGCCTCGTCTCTTGTTCGTGTCCCCAGCAGAATCCGTCAAACATGTGGCAGGGGAAACGCTTTCATGCCATCAGATATAAAGAGGCCGCACACCATCTCATGCTGACCCAACGGTTCGCCGCCCAGCTGCACCCCGATGAAGCCCATAGTGTTCTACGACATCCCCAGCAACATGGCGGGCAACGCCTGGTCGCCAAACACTTGGAAGACGCGGTACGTCCGTCTACTCAGCGAACAACCGTTCACAGCCCGTGGCTAACCTTTGAACGTTAATCCGCCATCTCCCCAGCTACTGCCTGAACTACAAACGCCTCCCCTACACCACCGTCTGGGTCGAGTTCCCCGACATCCCCGCGCTCTGCCTCCACATCCGCGCCCCCAAAACCTTCGCGCTCCCCATGGCCGACCACACCCTCCCCGTCATCTTCGACCCGAACACCGCGCGCGTCGTCGCCGACTCCGCCGCGATCGCCCGCTACCTCGACGTGACCTACCCCTCGACGCCGCGCCTCGTGTCGCCCCCTGCGAGCGCGCCGCTGCTCGCCGCGTTCGACGCCGCGCTCGTCGGCGCGCTCGCTCCGGACGTGCTCGCGCTCATGGTCCCCCCTATCCGCGACGGCCTGCGCCCGCGCAGCGCGGCGTACTTCACGCGCTCGCGCGAGGCGCACTTCGGCGTGCCGCTCGAGGCGCTCGCCCCCGCGGGGAGCTCGAAGCGCGCGGGGCACGTCGCGGCGCTCGTGGAAACGTTCGAGACCGTCGCGGGCTGGCTCGCGGCCGGGGAGGGTGCCGGCGACGGCGAGGGAGAAGGACAGGGAGAGGAGCGGCCGTTCTTCGCGGGCGACGCGGTGTCGTTCGCCGACGTCACCGTCGCGGCGTGGTTGAAGGCGCTCCGGCTCGTCTTGGGCGAGGACAGCGAGGTGTGGCGGGCGGTGGTGTCGATGAGGGGCGGGCGGTGGGCGCGGTTCGCGGCGGCGTTCGAGGCGTTCGAGGCGGTTGACGCGGGCGCCGAGTTCGTCGTACCGGACTCCGTTTGAATTTGATGGGACCCGAAGCTCTGCGTCCCTATGACCGCGTTCCGATGGTCCGTATCTCTAGACTGGCTGGATCGGAATACGCTGGCTAACGCGCCCGAACAATTGAACACAACTTCGCCAGCCAGTATTACGTTCCCAAACACCCATCTTACACTGCGCCTACAGCTCCAGCACGCTGCCTACGTCCTGCTGCTCATACTGCCTGAAGCCCGTCATGAACTTCGTCTACTGCCATCAGCTCCGCCACCTCCGCCTCCGGGAACGTGATCTCAATCCAACGCACGAACCCCGCGATCGTCACTTCCGCGTAGCACAGCTCCTCCCCGCCCGTGAAGTACGTCCGCCTCACTCCCCCCGCGTCGATCCAGCCCGCGAAGGTCGCGAACACCTTGAGGACGCCCGCCCAGTGCTTCGCGCGCGCCGCGCTCCCCTCCGGCGCGAGCGTGTCGATGTCCGCGCCCAAGAACGCGCCCCGCGTCGCGCGGAAGTACGCCGCGCTGCGCTCGTTCAGGTTCCGGCACTGCACCCCCACCATCGCGCGCAGCAGGTCGCCCGGCGGGGCGAACATCGTCGCCGTGAACGCCGCGTTGAATGCGGCGTGGAGGGCGTCGACCCGCGCCGGGATGAGCGTCGTACGTCCGCTCGAGGTAGCGCGTTATCGCGGCGGAGTCCGCCACCGGCGTCTTCGTGTTCGGGTCGTTGAACATCGGCGTGCCGTCGGGGAGCGTCTCCGCGAAGGGCGCGGCGATCTTCCTGTACGGGATGCCCTTGATGTTGAGCGTGTACCTGCAGGACGCGGGGCTCGGCACGCGCGTCGACCCCGCCACGGAGTAGATGCGCACCGCGTCTTCCAGGTGTTCGGGCCCCACGCGCCGATCGACGCGCTCGCGATGTCGTAGAAGACGATGGGCTCGGTCATGCTGTACTTGCGCGCGGAGGAAGGTGTCGGGGCGTTGGCCGGACGAGCGCGTAGAGGGCGGCTTATAATGCGTTGGACCCACGCGGCTCGTCGATCACTCTGTAAGCTGCCCAGCCATCTCTTGTTGGTCCCTTGTGCAAACGGTGAAGACGAGCCTCCAGCCCAGTCAGCCAACACGCCATGCGCGCGTCGTAGTAATGTTTCGGTCTTCGAGTGCATGGGTATGAGTGTGCTCGTCTCGGGCTGGATCCGCTCTTGCGCCGTTCAACCGGAGTTCCGGCAACAGTCGAGGTCTTGATATAGAAATCGCGAAGTACGGAGTTGATACTACGTGCCACCAGGGTTTCTAAAAAAGTCGAGCTTAGGTTAGGCTTCCAACGGGGAGAATACAGTTGGTCTCCCCAATGGGCTGTAACCTTTCGTGCTCTGGGTAATACCACAATTGTCACCATCGTGGCTGTAGTACACCTACACGCATTTTCGTCCAGATCAGTGTTGCTGTAGCTCGCGGGCAGAGCGAACACAATAATAATAACTTGACGCACGTTTACACTGGCGGCCAAAAATAATGCCCACCCCTGCCACCTATTTCTCTAGGCGCATCGGGAGGGGCCAGCGAGATATTGGTTGGCCCGTAGTACAGACCTCTTGTAATGCAAACGATTCATACCTGACTTGTGCAAATGCGGGGGAAGCTGGGTGAGAAACGGGCGCGATAGGCGATGGGCGCCTATTCTGACAGGACACTCGCGCCGCATTGCCTGCATTGATTCTCTCATTCCTCCACGACGCTTTCACAAAACCTCACGACACTTTGGATTTATCTTCGCCCTATCTATAGCTTCTATTCCCCACTATGGTGGTCTGCACCCCTACCAAACTCGCTCGTATTCGTGACTTCCTTAATCCTGCTCTCGGTACACCCAAGTCCTACACTCAAATCGGCCGTATCCTCGGCATGGATCGTCGTACAGTCTCCCGCAATGCAGCACTCATTGAGCAATCCCAAGACCCTTATTTCCGACCACATAAACCTGGACGACCTCGAGTTCTCACTAGTGGAGACTTGATGCAAGCTAAACTTGCCCTCGCCCGAGGTCATGCTCAAAACGCGACCGACGTTGCTCGCAAGTACTTCCCTCGTATCAGCGACCGAACAATGCGCCGTGCTCTCGCTGAGGTCGGTCTCCATGGACGGGTACGGCGACGGAAGCCCCTGCTTACTTGTCTCAATGTGAGACAGCGCAAGATGTGGGCAACGGAGTTTGCGAAGTGGGAGCAGGAAAGATGGGACCTGGTTATCTTCTCCGATGAGTCCAAGTTCAACATCTTCGGCTCAGACGGGAAGCAGTACTGCAGGAGGAGGGATGGGGAGGCTTTCCTGGACCGGAACGTGAAAAAGGCAGTCAAGCACGGTGGAGGGAGTGTGATGGTGTGGGGATGTATCACTTCGAAAGGCGTTGGACGCCTCCACCGGATCAGGGGGACAATGAATGCCGAAGTCTACTGTGGTGTCTTGGAGGAGTCCCTTCTAGGGACTCTCCGTGACCTTGGTATGTCCCCCCGTCAAATCTTTCTTGTGCAAGACAACGATCCGAAACACACATCACGTCGAGCACAACACTGGTTCACCTCTAACAACATCACCACAATGCCCTGGCCAGCCTCTTCGCCTGACATGAACATCATTGAGCATGTCTGGGACTATCTAGACCGTCAAGTGCGCCGGCGGAGCCCTCTTCCTCAAAACCAGGAGCAACTTTGGGTGGCACTGCAGGAGGAGTGGTACCGGATTGACCTCGCTTACATACACAGTTTGTACAACTCCCTCCCCGCACGTGTAGCAGAGCTCAAGGCTGCTCGGGGTCACCACACTCACTACTAGTTACCAGTCCTTCTAGTTTAGCTTCTATCATGATTTTTGTCGTTCGCTGCCTGGCTTGTGTGACACTGTGTGACAGGGTGACTCTTCATGTTGGCCTTCTAGCTCTCCCAATACCTGGCCGATCCGCACCAAACAAGCACCCGTGGATTGATCTCAAACGTCTCTACATGTACATACAAGAATCATGGGGAACGGATAGAAAACGAGTCAGTTATGACGCGCACTAGACGCCCAAGCCGGACCGGGCATTACTTTTGGCCGCCAGTGTATGTGCATGCCTCGTGGGCTGCGACTTCAATGGCTGATGCGGTGCGGGGTTCTCGTGCAATGTCGTGAGATTGAGCTGCGATATACATGGTCGATAATCTTGGCAGCGTCCTTATCCAAACCCGTGAAATGTGTGTATGTGGTTATATGCGATCCGTGACGAGACGAGGAAGTGGGGTAACACGTAAACGCCATTCAAAATGGGCGTAAGTAGTACGTAGAAGACGACGGCACTGTCGCAGGTGATGTGAGAGCACTCGCCCTACTCAAGCGGATGGAGAGAACGAGGACAGAGAGCCTCTGAACGCCTGCGCGAGGTTGCCCACGACGGGAAACATCTCCCCGCCAGCCTCGGTCCGTGCAGGGGCGTAGTAGAAGCCAGAGGCGAGCACGAGGTAGCTGAGGATGAGGATGGAGCCGCGGTGATAGTTGCTTTTGGCTTCGATGTAGGTGTACGTCATCAGGAAGACAGAGAGGATGATCGCGATGATGTCCCAGCGGGGGAATATCAATCTGCGCTGCCGTCAGCACCAGACAGCGCAAATGAGGAGATAGCACGCACGTGAAAGTTTCGGCCACATTGCCCATCTTCTCGGGGGCGTACCAGGCGGAGAACGCGACGAGAACCGGAATCTGCAGCAGACAGACCTGCAGAGCGTAGGCGGAGCCAATCTCCATGCTGGAAGATGGATGTGAGCCCATGCACAAGCTCCTCGTGTACAGCCTAGTTACTCACCTCAGTGCGATGTTTCCGTTCAGAGCGAACGAGATGGCATTCATAAACTCCGTGGTGTTCGGTACCAGAGCAAAGAGCGTCACGCCGAGGAACTTTTCGTCGATGCCCGAGCCTTCCAACACCACATCGACAACGTCCACCAGGATTTCTGATATGGTGTCGTGTAAGCCTCACATTCACCCCCGAACAAGGCGTCAGCTTACCGGCAATGATGGCATACAGTGCCGTACACCCAAGCAGGACGCTCGCACTCATCGTCCGGCTCCACGACGGCGCGTCGTGTCCGCCATGCCCACCGGCGTCCGCCTCTGGGTGGCGGAGGCGAGCGGGCGACGCCGGGGGCGGCCCGTGCTGTTGTTGGTGCCGGAGTGCGCTCACCGTCGCGACGGCGACGGCACGCGTAAACTCGTCCGTGGTCAGACTCCGTGGTGGCTGGATGCCCGTGTGCTTGATTGTGTGATCGACCGTCTCCAGGATCGGATTCTCGAGCGGGACATTGACCGGCGGCTGAGCGTACGAGATCCGGCGTGCGTTCGGGTCGCGCGCGGGTGGGATTTGGAGGATGGGGGCGGCCGGTTGCAGGTGCTGCGCCGAGGTAGAGCCGTCGCCTGGGAGCGAAGGGAGATCTTCAACTGCCGGCGTGGTGAGAAAGCTGGGTTTGTGGCGCAACTGGGTGTTTTGCAGAAGTTTATGATACATCGAAAGCCTGTTGCTTTGAGCAAGGTTAGGTTCGGTTTGGTGGAGGAGCGGTTGAGGGTTCTGCCAGATCTGGCTTGCGTGAGTCCGTAGTGAGAACCAAAGACCGATGAGGTACGACTACAAAGAAATAGATCAGAATGCGACACGAGAGAAGTGGTGAACAGACGCTACCAAGACGAGGACGACGGCGCAGAAGTACATGAGACTCTTCACCGTGGACTGATAGAATGGGTCCTCGACCGGGTCCGGGTATTCATAATAGCATTGGTCGCATTTCCATGGCTTCGCGAGGACCGAGACCATATCATCAGGGCACCCTTCACAGACCAGCTCGAACTGACGAGAGGTGAGTATATGTGCACTAGTAAAATATCATACACTCACAGTTCCGTAGGTCTGATAGAACAGAGTGGGAGCGATGGTGCCGATGAACGCCATGATGAGCAACATGCTGGTGACGCCCGCACTCTTCGCATTGAACCTCATCTCCTTGCGCCTGACCGCACCACTGACCATACTCAGGCCCGGCATGAGGAGGACGCCCGCAAGCAGACTGCCGACGATCGATCCTTCGACCAGGTGGCCCTTCCTTTGCGTGAGCGCAATTCCGTACAACAGGATTTCGATGAGCGAGCCGAACGTGGCGTTGATCACCGCGCCCATGCCGATCGACGACTGCGCAGAGATCGAGGCGACGGCCATGCCGATGAAGTAGGAGAGCGGGATGACACTAGCCAGACTCATTACAAATATGAGTGCGCGCGAGGTGATAAATGCGAGGAAGGCGGGAATATGTTGGCCGGTGTGCTCCCGCCGCTCGACCATGGGGAGGAGCACGATACCGTCAATGATCGCGAAAATGACGAACGGGAGGAGGTTGATGAAGATTATGTTGACGCCGCCGACGGTGTACTTGTAGTATTTCCAGCCCCACGCACGGTACGTGCACAGAAGCACGGTAGAGGTCGGAGAGCCGGACGGGGCTGCTTGGCCTGCGGACAGTCTGGCGTGCTTGAGCGTGACGGGGGTTGCTTCCGTCTCGGCGGACCCATCTGAAGCTTCAGACGCTTCCTGGCGGTCATCGACCACGGGCACATATGGTGCGGCACAGAACCGGAGACATGTGGGGTGCTTGAAGAGGTGTTTGATAAGGGCCCAGTTCAGCCGCGCCATTGGGATGGTGAAGATAAAGAACCAACAGATGACCGAGACAAGAAGCATGAGGGGGGCGATGAGGGAGGTTATCGCAAGCCAGAAGACCGCCTTCCCCAGCCAATTTTCTGCCCTGCTAGCTGTGCTCGCGGCCCCGATGGCGAAGGTAGATTGCAATGGAGTGGCGCCGTACGATTTTGCAGGGAGAGGACGAGAGGACGGACGCGTTGAACCGTTCGGAGCACTCAGCAATGAAGTCGT